TGGATTCTGATCTAGGTCTGACTCCAGAGCCTATGAAATAGGAATAACAAAAACTTACAATAGAATCAACAAAGCCAAAAATTGGTTGATAAGACGAATAATATTGACAAGCACCCAAAAAACTGATCAAGGGAAGGGAAAAAAAAAAAAAGGAGGCACAAATTACCAGTATAAAGAATGAAAAAGGTGATTTAATTGTAGTTCCAACAGAAACTAAAAAGATTTTAAGAGGACATTAGGCACCACTTCATACCAATAGATTTGAAACTTAGATGAAACTGACAAATTTCTAGAAGCAACTTATTAAAACTGACACTAGGAAAATTAGCTAGCTTCACTGGTGAATTCCTTCAGCATTTAAGGAATAAACAAACCAATCTTACATGAACTCTTCCCAAGAATTGAGACAGAGGGAATATTTACCTGTTTATTTTATGAAGCAGGTGTAACCTTGATATTAAAATGAGGACGCTATGAGGAAGGAATATTACTAGCCACCTCTCTTGAAAATTGACGCAAAAATAACAAAGTATGAGCAAATGTAAACCGGGGATGTGCAAAAAGAATAATTCATCATGACTATAATGGCTTAATTCCAGGAGTGCAATGTAATTTCTCCAATAAAGGGGAAAAAATATGATCATCTCAATAGGCGCAGAAAAAGCATTTAATAAAATTCAGCATCAGTTTGTGATACTCATAGCAAACTAAGAATAGAACTTTGTTAAACTGGTAAAGAGTATCTCCAAAAATTTCAGTGGTGAAATATTTAAGGCTTTTCTCCTGAGTTTAGGAATGACACAAGGATACCACGGTTACCACTTTTAGTCAGTGACATACTGAAGATCCTAGCGAGATTAATAGGGAAAGAAAAAAAAAAAGTAAAAGTATTGGGGAGGAAGAAATACAAATTATTCAGAGATAACATGATTATGTATACAGAAGGTCCAAAATAATCTACAGATAAACTCTTAGAATTAATAACTGCATTTTTAAAGTTTGTTAGCTAAAAGGTCAATATATAAAAATCAACTGTAATTTTAATGTATTAGCAAGACAAGTAGAAAACAAAGTTTTAAAAGGTTACCATTTACAGTATCAAAAACATCAAATATGTAGGAGTAATTCAAATTAAACATATGTAAGGTCTCATCACAGAAAGCTATAAAACATTATTAAGAGATATTAAAAAAGACCTGAATAAGATTAGGGAGATCAATATTATGAAGATGTCAGTTCTTTCTAATTTTATCTCTAGATACAATGCAATTGCAAATTAAATTCCAGAAACTATTTTTTTCCAATCAAAACTGTCAAGTGGATTCTAAAATTTATATGGAAATACCATGAACAGAGAATAGCCTGTACCAAATTGAAGAAGAACAGAATTGAAGGACTACACTAAACATATAATTCCTCTCTTACCCAGCAAAAATGTATGTGTATATATGTTCACTGAAACTCATATACTACTAGAATGTTTATGAAAGCTTTATTTATAATAGCTAAAAAGTAGAATAACTCAAATATGCATCAGCAGTACAGTGGATAAACTAAGGTAAATTTCTACAATGGAATACTATACAGTAATAACAATAAATCAACTACTACTACACACACCAACTTGGATAAATTTTACAATCAAGATGTTAATAAGCAAAAGAAGCCAAACAGAAAAAAATACATACTACAGTGAAACCTGTGAGAGCCAGAACTGGGTGGGACTGTCTTGTTTTCTCGGGTCTCACAAGGTTTCCACCTTACAGGAAAGTCTTACCACTTTTCTGTCGCTCTCTACTGGTGGAAAATGTTTTAGTTTTCCTTCTCTGACAGGTTTCTGCCTTCACACTGGTTCCGGCTTTTGCAGGTTTTACTGTATGTGGCTCCATTTATGTAAAATTCAAAACCAGGCAAAACTATGGTGTTGGAAGCTAAGAAAATGATTACATTTAGAGACGTGTAATTGAGGGATCCACACAAGAATTGGAGGTGCTAATAATATTCTGTTTCTTGATCTAGGTGGTAGTTACATAGGTATGTTCACTTTGTGATAGTTCATAAAGCTGTGCTTACATAATTTATACCCTCTGTATGTATGTTACTTTAAGGATTTTATTTTTTAAAAATCATTATTTTGTAGTTTCTTAACTAACAAATGATACATTTAGATTAGACTATGAATGTGAATAATTGTCATTAATTGGAAAAGTAGTCGTGTTAGTTGGCAAGCTTAAAATTGCTACTAGAATTATTATAAATTATTATAATTATTATAAACATTGCTATAATATGTGCTTTTTGAATAATGAGTTGTGTATATTTCTGTTTTGAAAAGTTTTGGGAAGTTACTAATTTTTGGACAGGGAAATTATGAAGACTGGCTCATTTTAACCAGATCTTTTTAAGTGAAATATGACTTTTTTTTTAAACATTTTTCGATTAACTTACACATAGATCTTCTAATGTAGACTCAACTGATAACACTGAAACTATACCATATGTAGAGAAGCTATGCATTTCACATTTTTTGAGGCTAGTAAAAGCAATACTTGTAATTTTGAAGTATATATCTAATTTTCATTTTGTGGGGTGAACAGTATTCTTTAAAGTTGCTCAGATAATGCTTTCTTGGATTATATAGACACTTGAATAGTAATATGGGTAATTTTACAGCTGCTTGATTTTGATTCTTGATCTACTAAAAAGTTAAAAAAAAATAGCACTCCGGGGAGAAAGGAACAAAAAATTGAAATAACAACAATAAAAGCAAAGTGCCAAACTGAGTGTTTTCAGTTAATACGTTTATGTGAAATAGCTTATTTTCTCCCATTCTTTTTGTTGGGATGCTAGAGAATTGACAGTGTGTACTAGAATTAAGATGGATTGACACAGTGGCTGCAACAATGGGCTCAAGCATAACAATGATTATGAGGATGGCGCAGGACCTGGCAGTGTTTCATTCTGTTGTATGTAGGGTCACTATGAGCCGGAACTGACTCAATGGAACTTAACAACAGCACTAGAATTAAATTCTACTATGTTGTTGCTAAGAGCCCTGGTGGTGCAAAACGTTAAGTGCTTGGCTACTAACCAAAAAGTTGGCAGTTCGAACCCACCCAGCCGCTCTGTGGGAGAAAGACCTGGCTATCTGCTCCCATAAAGATAACAGCCTAGGAAACTCTATAGGGCACTTCTACTCTGTCACATGGGGTTGCTGTGAGTCAGAAACGACTGCAGCTGAGAACTTAACTGTTTGTGCCACCAAAAAAAAACAAAAACAAACCCGTTGTCATCGACTCAATTCTGACTCATTGCGATCCTGTTGGGATAGAGTAGAACTGCCCCGTAGGGTTTCCAAGGGGTGGCTGTTCGACTCGAACTGCTGACCTTTTGATTAACAGCTGAGCTCTTAACCACTGCACCACCAAAACCAAAAACCAAACCCGTTGCCTTAGGGACTCCTATAAATTCTACTGTAACCATATTAAAATAAGTTTTTAAATTAGAATATTTTTTAATTTGAAACAATATCCATTTAATTAGTTTTCTTGTTTAATAACAATAAATTCTCAGGTGGGTATTGTTATTCATCAACAATGTTCCTTTTTTTTTTAAGCTGATTCTATTTTGCGTCTCTGTAGGTGTATGTATCTGCTGCATGTGCTATTATTGTAAAATAACACCAGTAAATTTGAGAAGTAACCTTTTCCTTTATTTATAAACTTAATAGTCTAGAAAGTAAGTTAGTGAAATAGTTTAACCTTTTAATCATGTGTCTCTAATAACAGACACTGAATCATAAATGAAAAAGGAGTTTCAGCTCTTTTTGCCTGGAAATATAGGTTGGTTTAAGCTCCTCTGCTAACCAGAAGGTCAGCAGTTCAAATCCACCAGCTGCTCCTTGGAAACCCTAGTGGGCAGTTCTACTCTGTCCTGCAGGGTTGCTATGAGTTGGAATCAACTCGACAGCAACGGGTTTTTTTGGTACTAGATTTTAGCTTGATAATTCGGTCATTCACTTAGTGACAAATCCAACAATCCACTTATGCATTTAATCTAGTCGTAGATACTGTTTCTAAGGTCTCTGTGAGTTTATGGCCCAGCTCCCTCTGCTTCGGACACTCTGCTCCAGCCACCACCATGACCTTCTTGCAGTTCACTAGCATACCAAGCATATTTCTACCTCAGTGCCTTTGCTGATACCTCTGCTCAGATCTGCACTTCCCAATATCCTTCTTTGACTCTCTCCCTCAGTATTTTCAGGTCTCTGATCAAATATCACCTCAGAAATGCATTCTCTGACTCCTCTTTCTATAATCCCATCATTCTCTATTCTGATCCCCTGCTTTCTTTTATCTTCACAACAGTCATCACTGCCTGATATTGTTATATTTATTTTTTTATATTTCTCACCAAATACAAGCTCCACAGAGCAGAAACGTAATTGATTTTGTTCACGGCTGTGTTTCTAGCACCTATAACTATGAGAAACACATAGTAGGCATTCTATAAATATTTGTAGTTAGAATGGATGAATGAGAGAGAGAGAATGCGTGAATTAAACATAATGAATAGTAAGTTTCAGTCTACATGGCTCAGCCCTCAGTCAACTCTATAGAATTCATTTATTTGTTCTCTAACCAAAGGTCACATTGCTGCTAATTACAGCATGACTCTAGAGGAATTAGTGGTGAATTTTAAATAAACTCTAATATTATACAACAGACTTCTAAACTTGTTATTATCCTTTAAAGAGGAGAAAAGAGAAAGGGGGAAAATACAGAATATACATGGTATTTATTTAACTTTGTCTTTTATGAAATAAATAATGGCTAAAAACAATATTCATTCTAAATGCATTGCCTTTGTTTTTTCTCTTTGATAATTTAAAAATGTGGTAATAACTGCTCAAGCATCACTTAAAGTTGTAGATTTATATTGAATTTATTTACGTTTCTATTTATATCTGTTTCCCCTCACCACCACCTTTTTTTTTTAAGAATCCAACTCAAGTCGGAACAGCTCTTCAGGTTTTCCATAATCTTGGGACTTTGAAGGATACTATTACCAGTGTCCTGGAAGGGTATTGTGCTACCATAGAAGAAAATATTAACAGTGCATTAGACATCAAAGTTTTGACTCAGCCTTCCCAGTCAGCTGTGAGAGGTATGGATATGTTTTATATTTAGCTTCTTTATTTATTTATATCTGAGAAATCCTGTGAATAGTATGTAGCACTCAAGTTTCAAAGCAATCTAATGACTCATTTTTTAGTAGACAGAAAATGAGGGAAGAAATTATGTTTCAGAATTTATTTATAATTTTTTTCTCTAATCAGTCAGTTGAACTGGCCAATTGGTATATTCAGAACTTCGAGTTAAAAATCTATAAAATGTAACATCATTCAGTTGAAAGGAAACAGATGCAGAAAAAGCAAAGGAACAGTTGTTTTCTTCCTAAAATCCTATCCTCATGCCTCACATGTGCTTCTTATTGAGATAGAAAAAGAATTTTTTAAGGAAATACAATTTCTACTTTAGCTTTCTGGGCTTTTCCTTATAACTCTGGTTGTTGGGAACAATAATGGCTAGGTGTAAAGATAAAAACTGATGAAACTATGGGAACATTATAACTAAGTTATTGTTGTTGTTAGCTGCTATCAAGTCTGTCCCCAACTTATGGTGACCCCGTGCACAACAGGTCAGACCTTTGTGATCCATATGGCTTTCATTGGCTGATTTTTTGGAAGTAGATTGCCAGGCCTTTCTTCCTAGTCCATCTTAGGAAGATCTGCTGAAACCTGTTCAGACCATAGCAACACGCAAGACTCCACTGACAGACAAGTGAGGGCTATGCTTTAGGTACATTGGCCGGGTCTCCTGATGGAAGACAAGAATTCTACCAGTGAACCACTACTGCCCCCACAGTATAACTATAAAACCCAAAAAACCAAACCCCATCGCCGTTGAGTCGATTCCAACTCATGGCGACCTTATAGGACAGAGTAGAACTGCCCTGTAGGGCTTCCAAGGAGCAGCTGATAGATTCAAACTACCGACATTTTGGTTAACAGCTGAGCTCTTTACCACTGCGCCAGTGGTCTCCAGTGTAACTATAGGAAAGTTTAAAGAAAACCAGTAAGGAAAGACAGATTCAAGGTGGAGAGGAGTAGCCCTAGAGTAGCAGTCTTCAACCCTTTTCCTGCCAAGACATACTTGGTGGTGGCATTCACATATATATGATACTTCTCCATAGATAGGAAAGACCACAGATTATGTACAACTTTCCCTTACTTGCTGCAACTCCATCTCCACATTTCTCCCCTATATTCTTTCTTCTCTCTTGTTAATATACTTGATCCTAGCAAAAACCAACTACAGTACTACACTTTTACACTAGATCCCATCACTCAAGGGCATTGTTTCAGCAGTTACCCTCTCTGTCACATTGTCGTTTTTCCTTCTTTACTGTTACTTTCTTATCATATACAATCCTACTATTGTATCTTCAGCTTAAAATGAATTAAACAAATCTATCTTGACTCCGTTTTTCTTCAGCTTTCCAATCCCGTTTTATTTCTTCAGTCTACAGAAAAATTTCCCAAAGTATTCTTTATGCTTACTTACATTTTTCTTCCCATTTTTCTATTGAGAGCACTCCAATCTTAAGAATAAATGAAAAGACCTGTGTAGAGTTACTACTTACCTTACCTGTTGCCATCGAGTCGATTTCGACTCGTAGCAACCTGATAGGACAGAGTAGAACTGCCCCGTAGGGTTTCCAAGGAGCGTCTGGTGGATTTGAACTGCTGACCTTTTGGTTAGTGGCTGAGCTCTTAACCACTGTACCACTAGGGCTCCAAGTGTAGTTAATAGCACATTATTAATGTGGAAGAAAAATTTGTAGCCGTTTATTGTTAAATTATTCTTATATCTCCTATATAAACATGATTCTAAAGACCATTGAATATATGTAACTCATAAAAAAGCCACACGAGATAAAAAGAGATAAAAGAACCTTAGATCTTAAAGGGATTTTTAAAGGTTAGCCCTAGCCTCAGAGTAGGACTGTATTAAGACTATTCTAGAAGGAAGGCTTTTAAAAGAAATTACCAAAGGACGTTTCACTCTCAGCCTTTCCCAGCAATTATTCTCAGAAAGTTTGATCTAATGTTTAAATTTCCAGGAGCAGTTTAATCTCAGTCCCTCTTGTGTTGTCAAGAATAGGGGAAAAAATGAAAGCAATCATTCACGTGCTGTCAGTCCTAATGTATGCCTCTTTTGTCAAAAGAATAAAGAGTTTTAAAGCCTTCTCATTATCATATGTTAAGGAGTGGATATCGTGATTTAATGTAGAAACCTTAAGCCTCAATTCTTTCTTATTTTCTTAAAGAATAATTACTTGTTTTTTAAAAAGTTACATACAAAGCGTGAATGTTAATTTCCTGATCTTAGTGGTTATACTGAGGTTATGTAGGCAAATGTTCTTGTTTGTTAGAAATACACATTAAAGAATTTTAGGAGTGATGGGGCATCATGTCAATAACTATTCTCAAATGGTTTAGGGAAAATTTTTTTTTACTATGCTTGTAGCTTTTCTGTAAGTTTAAGATTGTTTCAAGGTTTAAAAAATATATAACATTCATACAATTTTAAGGGGAAAATTTTACCTAGGATATATAAAGAAAGCCCATAATTCAATAAGAAAAAGTCAACAATTCAAAAAAATGGATAATAAATTTGAGCAGGCAATTCACAGAAGAACACATTGAATAAACATGTGAAAATATGCTCAACCTTTGTTTAGAGGATGAACTATTTATTAAGGAGATACAAATGAAACAAGATACTATGCATTACCAGACTGGCAAAATCTAAGACAGAACCAAGTATTAGATGAGAACAAAAACTCTTGTGCACTGATGGTATGTGGAATAAATTGGTTCAGCCACTTCACTCGGTATTATCAAATTGACCTCTAAAGTTAAAAATGTGTATACCTGTGGTCTTATAGTTTCTCTTATAAGAAACTCTGGCATGTATGTATAATAATTTTTATTGAACTATTGCTTATAATAGTGAAAAAGTGAGACCAACCTTTCCTCCAATAGAAGAATGGATAAGCTTTATTATTATTATTAAGTAGATTGCTACACAGCATTTAAGTAAACAAATTTATCAACAGATAATTCTCAAAAACATTACATGGAAAAGCAAGTTGCAGAAAGATACATACAGTATGCTAAATATAAAGCCTATGAACATGACAGACTATGCTATTTATTGTTTTGCATACGTACTTATGTAGTAAAAGTATAAATACATGTATTGGAATAATAATCACCAAATTCAAGGTAGCATTAGCTCTGGGGAGAGAGGGAGGGAACTGGGACTAGGAAGAGACCGATATACAAGTAACTTCACTTTTTTTTGATGATGTATTTCATAAGCTTCATGGTAGGTGTTCATTATATTGTTCTGTGTGCTTTTTTGTATGCCTGAAGTATTTAACTATAAAAGGTGAATATTATAAAAAGAAAGTCAGGCACTGAAGAAAGATGATGATGGTGATAATGATGATGGAGATGGAGATGATGATGGAAAGTAAACAAAATAGAAGATTCAAATTTCATGGTTCAGAAACCATAGTTTTTACTATACAGTGAACATGAGTCCATATGTTTCTTTAAGCATTAAATATTGATAGAAGGATAAATGGATGGATACGGAGATAAATGAACATAAACGGAATTTTAAGATATATGCTTTTTTAAAAAAAAATCTTTTTTATTGTAAAGTAAAGCTCAGATACAGAAAACATAAGTAAAACATGTAACTTTATTAATTACTATAAGGTGAACACCACCCAGGTCAACTTTGCCAGCTATCCCAGAGCCCCTTTTATGTCTTCCATACCAATCATAACCCCCTCTCTCCTGACATAAGTAATGATTATGTTGACATTTATATTAATCACTTCCTTGTGTATTTCTTTTTATAATTTTATCAACCATTTGTGCAACGCTAAGCACTACACTTTAGCCATGTTCATTTTAGATATACAGTTTTTTAAATGTAGAGAGTCAGTGGAAAAGAGAAAGACCCTCAGCAAGATGGACTGACACAGTGCCTGCAACAATGGGCCACAAACATAGCAACAATTGTGAGGATGGCACCAGACCAGGCAGTGTTGTACATAGGGTCGCTATGAGTCCAAACCAACTTGACAGCTCCTAACAACAGCAAACTTTTTAAAATAAAAAAGTATCTTACTTTAGTTCAACAGAATAATTACAAATTTATGTGAAATTAAAATCCTAATAAATTTCAGATAAATCAGTCTTCTTCACAAGAAATATTAGATTATGAAAAATATTAAGAAACTGAAGTAATTCTTTACATTTTAATATTAGACTAAATCTGTTGGTTCTCTGTCACTGAAGGTGGGAAATTGGCACACCTCCCCTGCCCTCATTCTCTGTTGTTGGTTGTATTTTTATTTCTGAATGATCAGTGGTGTTTATATTTTCTTACTTTTCTGTTTAAATGGTTTGATTTTCAATTTTCGTCCTTTTAATATGGCTCTCCATTTCTGTATTCCTCTTTCCCTTGGCTGGATTTCAGAATCCAACTGATTTTTCAGAAATGGCTCATGGGTACTGTGTTCTCTGAGTTCTTGCATAGTTAACTGTGTCTTTTGAAGAACAGGTTCTTATCTATTCTTTCTTTCCCTTAAAATATTGTAGCTGTTGTGATGTCTCTCTTCCCCACTGAATCTGAAAACAATTGAAAGACTGATGCTGGAGACAAAGAGATGATAATTAAAATGTTAGTTTTATTAATGATTAGAGCTGGACAAGAGCGCATAACTTAGATCAGCAACCAAATGGATTTCCTAATATATCACTTCAGAACTGAACTGTTACCCAATTTAGCATGCCTGACTATAACTACCATGTGGATAATGCAGGAGCCAGAATGTATCCTTTATGCAGATAAGGCTCCAGCAAGAGAGAATGGAAAGGATTGAGTCATTCAAGCTCAGATTCCTATCTGAATTCATTAATCAGATAAATCACTCTTTTCACATGGGGAGGGGTGAGTTAGAGGCAGAAGAAGAAGGTAGGAATGTTACTTTAGCTGAAGTCCCTCCATATGAAAGATGAG